ATATATATATATATATATATATATATAATAATGCTTGAGAGTGGCACTGAATTAAAATCTTGTTTTATGAATTTCAAATGTCCAATTCTAAGTAATGCAATCATAGATAAAAAAGATAAACGATTCAGCTGAGTGAAAAATAGAAGGAAAGAAGCAAAATTCAAATAAATATTTTCAAAAAATAAAATTTACTGAGAGAAGCTAATTGATTTGCTTTTTATTTTATAAAAACAGTTTCACCAACTTTAGATTTTTTTGTCAGCGGATGGATTTCAACAAATATCGAAGGGAAATGCACAAGTGAGTGGCTTGTTTCCACAAAGTAATGAATTTTAGCATCTGAATCTTAATCTAAATTATAATGAACTAACAGTTATTGCAGGTTGAAGTTCGTGGTCTAATTCTTGCAATGTAAACAGATCTCCACTATTCGTATCAATTGTAAACCATCCACCATCCGTTGCATTATCCACTGGCTAAAATCAAATCATTCATCCAGTTCGACTAATTTGAAATCGATCAAGTATCGATTAATATTGTTTGATAAAAGTTCAGAAGAAAAATTTAGTATAAGCATTCTTGCAGTTGAGCATCCTTCAGTTCACATCGGAAAGTTTAGTATTCCTGTGAGAGATGAAATAAAATCATGGAAAAATTGTTTCATTTTGTTCTTGAACCTATATTTTGACTAAAGATCAGATTAGTTAATTTTTGGCCTTACATTTGATGGGTTTGAGATAAAAAGTAATTAATATTAATTTAATTTACCAATAAATAACCAACCGTTATTGAGTACTTAATTTCTCGGCCAAACAGCTCATTAAAACCACCAATTTTAGCTCGAACTGAATAAACGCGATCATTAGCTGGAGTATTCTGGAAGAAAGGAGAAACACGATACACTTATAATCAAAGTTTAATATTTCAAAAAATTCGAGTAAGGTGAAGTCGCCATGTGATTAACATCCTGAACAATTGATAATAATTGTATTTGATTTTCAACTTAAATAAAAAAACGAAATGATAATTTAACATTACTCATAATTTAACACTACAATATGATGCCAACCAAAACGAGCGTACTATAATTGTGATTAATTTCAAAAATGAAGCTAAAAATTCAACCTCATCAAGTTGCAAAGTGAAATGAACGGATGGTGATACAATATGTATACCCTTGTCATCACCAGCATGACTTAATGAAGTAGATTCGAGTACATGAATGCTAACAGCTGCACTGGCTGATAACGGTGGTATACCTGAATTCAATAATATCAATATAAAAAAGCATTTGCTGACAATTTCACGAATTTATTTAATTTCATTTCAAATAAATGTTCATCCTAAATGTTTAAAATTGGTGAAATAAGAATCAGTTTGGAGTAAAAAAAATGGTGGTTAATTCTTCAAAGCATTCATTTTAAAAACATGTGAATGTGAGGATAAGTTAACTATCAAAAAATAATTCGTGAAAATAAAGATAAATCACCTTTGTCCGTTTCCCCTTCTACGCTTTACCCTCTTATTCATTATCTTGGGTTATATTTATTTTTATCAAGAGATGGTTCAAGTTGGACAAGACCTTTGAACCCAAATATTTTATCTTTTAATGGTTACAAGTTTTTACATATGTAATTAAAAAAATATAATTGGGAAAAGGTTAAACAATTTTCAACAAGGCCAACCTTGATCACTAGCTATAACTGAGAAGTCGTACGGATGTGCTCGTGCTAAGCCAATCAATGCTTTCTTGGCGCGTATCAATCCACTTATTGGATCAATTTCAAAGTCTGTAATTATTTCAGAATTAGTGTAGAAGTATTCGGTTTTCTAAAATTTGATAATTCACAACATTTTATCAAGATTTCATGTCTTACCAGTTTGCTGTCAAAATGCATAATGTCGAAATAAGGCCTTCTTTTTAAAATTAATTATTTTGAAATAACTATTTTAAAAAAAAAAAGCACTGAAATTATCATCCCACCTAAAAGTTATGTAAAGGCAAAATTGGTTAGACCTTCACAGTAATCTCGTGTTTGATTTTAGTAAAAGTTCCGTTAAATTTCAGTTATTAAAACCGGAGTGTAAGATGTTTTCTAACAATTTGTTTGTTGAATTTTTTTATTAACTTGTGCCAGAAAATTATTCTTGGAAAAAAATTAGATGGCGTCAGTTTTTCAATTGAAAATAATTTAGGGATTCTCGGTAAAGAATTTTCTCCTCATTACTGATATCAGCAAGTGATCGATGGAAGGTACACAAGAAAAAATATCAAGATTGGAACCTTTTTTATTTGTAATTGATTATCGATTTTTTAATTTAAATAAGCTTAATTTTTGCAATAATGGGTTTGAATTTTGAACTTCAATTTACAGAGATCTAAAATTACTAATTCTCCGAGTAAATCTTATAAAAAAATAAATGTGAATTTCCATAAGTTAAAATCCTATTTCTTCTCTGCTTAATATTTGAAACTGCAAATTTTCCAGAATATACGTTTTTAGCATTGAAATATGAATTTAAGGATAAAGAAAAGTTGATTGATTAAGGGACGGTTTTGTAAATTTAAAGGTTTTCAACTACCAAAACCTTAGAGGCGATCCATTCCTTTTTGTTATATTGTCAAACAAAAAAAAAAAAAAACAGAAGAGATAAAAAGAAGTATACACTGATTATTTTTTGGTGACAGAGAGTATCGTATATCTGCATTTGGGCCTTTATCTTTATCTTCAGCATGCACATAAGTTAATACCATTGCTTCAGGCCAGTTTTCGACTGCTTCAGTTTTATATTCGTTATGAATGAAAACGGGTGCATTGTCATTTACATCTATTACCGTAATCATTGCCTATAATGCAATTTTTGTTCAAATTTTAATTCGATTTGTAAATTCATAGTAGATATCTGTTTGAAGATGACTTAAACCGATCAATGTAAGCTTAAGCATGGCCAATAAATGCCACCGATAAGCATTTCTTTGGCCGGACGCACTGATTCTAGCTGATATCATTTTGGAAAAGTGACATTTCACAAATGCAAACATGAGAAATTTGAATGACGGTAAGTCTGTATGTTCATAATATGTTTTAAATTAGAAAGTGTATTTCTGTATAAAATTACTCAAACGATTCGTTGCTATATAATTTTTTGAATTTTTCCCGTATCGTCGTACAATTTAGTTGTGGAATAAATTGTCACGACTTCATCTTTACAAATTTCTGAAATTTTACCGCGATGCTATCGCTGTTACCACCAGAATCGGTAACTTTCAGTAAAACAACCATTTCCTCAATTTTTTCTCGATCCAAATCAGCAGCAGGAGAAACGATGACAGCCACAGTATCATTTACCTGCAATAAAATAACGAATTAATTCGAATTAATCACTTAAAAAGTAAGGAAACAATTTGCTCATTCACTGCAGGCATTATCTTAAGTTGGCTTTCGAGTCTTACTTCTAATATGCTGCTTACCTTTTTAACTTGGAAATTAGCTGCAGCATTACCACTTAATGCATAAGTGAAGACGCCTGTTTTACCATACAAATAATCCGGATCCGATATTTGAACTTCAAAAAGCACCGTTCCAGGCCGTGAATTTTCCGCAACTGTCAGCTAAATTTAAAGCATGATAAAATATTTGATCAGGATGGTATTGTAAAGCAAAAATTTCTTCAGGCATTATTATATTTTGTCCTGAATGTTAAAGTTTATCAATTATTTTTCAAATAAATGTCCGCTGTTAGCTACATCCGTTATGGTTTACCAAGCCATAAATTAACATTGTCATCTTCACTACTGATATAAGGAAAATTTATCAGATGCGTTGATTGATGAGTTAATTAACATTTTTAATTTGGTTGTACTTGAATGATGGCTAGAACTGAACAGATTAGGAATTGTTAAATTTGCATCTGTTTACTGTGGTAAGACTATAAAGAATTTATGACTGGAACTAATAGTGAACCGATCACAAAGACTTGATAGATTTCATAAATAAAACGAACATTCTCGAAGTTATAATCACCAAACTTGGCTATTTTTGGTGGATTGTCATCAACATCAATAATTTCAACTCTTAGCACTGCTACGGTATCATATGGTTCTTCACCTGCGATCAACAACAAGTCAAATATATGTGATTCCGGTTCCATCGTTTCAAAATCAAAAGGTGTCACAACGTGAACATCTCCTAAAATGACTTTTTTTCTTTTTATGATGGATTACATTGCACGAAAGTTACAATGCAACTGTCGAGCATTGAAGATAATTCTGATCAACAAATCCACCTGTTCGTAAACATCTCTTATTTTAAAAGTTGCAAAAATCGGTCCTCACTCGTATCTTCAAAAAGCTTAGGCTAGCTTAAACTTGTTTCTTTTATATTTGAAAATACAACTTAAACTCTAACCACTTCTTCCATCCACTGTGAAATGTTGAGCCATTTCGCCTGCAAGTCTAAGATCTATAACTTTGATTCCATTCATTGGATTGTAAGCTGGTAATGAAGTGATCGTGTAACCTTCTGGTGAATTTTCAGCTAATTTGATCTGAAAATATTGTTAAACTGGAAAAATTCATATATAAAAACTAAAGTAAATGATATGACAATAAGTAGAATATTGTTAGTAAATAAATGTGCCTATAAATTTAAATATAGAATTGGAGGACAAAAGGTCAAACAACATCTAGTAAACAGATATCGGTAAGCGAATATTTGAGTTATCATATGTATACTACAAACACTAAAGTAATTAATTATAAGATACCGGAATGATGTTCATATCACTTCTCCATGGATGGCCAAATCTTGGCTGTGATTGTCGTTTACGTTCATGTTCCATCTCAATTGGCTCCGAACTGAGAAACAACATCACCTTAGCTATAATTTGGATAAATTTCATTTACTATAGAGTTCAGTATATGTATTAGTATACCGAATGTAAGTTGCATTCATATGCTACTTTTAAGGTGTACTTAATTTTGGCGACATTGTTACATTGCTGAAATTAAGATAATACACCATTATTAGTTTATATTTGCACAGATTAGAAAAGAAAATAGCAATAGTTTGATAGAAGTAATTTAAACCAGGTTAAACATGAATAATATCAATAGTTTTCCGTATGACTTTTATACATACCAGAATCATTAGTATCTTCTTTTGAGGATAAATTGAATTGCAACATTCTTATCTGTTGTAATCGCTTCATATCCATTATTATCATACCGTAACTATTTGATATTGCATTCTACAATTTGAAGAAAAATCAATTCTAATAGTTTTTATTTTTATCATTTGCAAAATTTTGTGCTTACAATTTTGTATTTGTAGGAAGTATTGCGTACTTTTCAGAAATCGAAACATATATTTGGAAAAACGAAAAGAATACCTTATCGAGGTGAGTGTAGTGAAGCTGCTCATCAGCAGCACTGATACTATCTCGTACGATCATTATTGATGCTTTATTATGTTCCGGGAGTATTTCTACTGTTTGACGACTTGCTGTTGGATCTGACGTAAACAAATTTTAACAGGGTTAACAGGATAAAATATTATGGAAATTTTTTCTCATACTGCGAAAGTTAAATTCAACCAGTGGTTTCTACCGGATTTCAACAAAGGAACATCTTTAATTCAGTACGCGTCTTAGATTAACCTTTACGTATGGTCTTGACAATAAGTTTCTTGGCAAACAATTTCGTCACATGATTGTCGTTGATTACGGTGAGAACAAGAACGGATTCCGTAATAAGTCTCCCATCAGTACGATTCACTGCTGCGATAGATGTACTGTATTTCCCGCTTACAATACCGGTTCTGCAAAACCGAAAGTGTGAGTATTGTTAATGAAGTGCTTCTTTTTAATTTCCGAAATTTTTTTAAAATTTTCAATTTAGTATGGATGTTTGGTGTTTGTTCTACTGAATGACAATGAATCACATTGCTGAAATCTGGCTATTTCATTGGATTTTGTGGTCAATCAATATTTATAGCTAATTATGCTGAAGATTTACTGTGGAACATCGCCAACAATAACATTTCCAGTGTATTCATCCACAGACAGCCAACCAGGGTCATTTCTTAAAAGGATAAACCGCAGTGTATCGAGTGGAGCACTTTCCAGTTCCGGTTGCAGGATGGGATTACCTGGAAAAGATCAGTATTTTTTTCCAAATCTCCAATTCATCAATTCAAAATTCTGAATTCAACTAAGATATTCGAAAGGAAAAAAAAACCTTTAAACAGTTTTTCGGTGTTAACAGTCCTTTCATATTTAGCTCGTTTGAAATGAACTTTTGTTACAGTATTCTGAAATAGAAATTTTTCATCTTTGCTTTGAAAAGTATAAAATTGAAAGTTAGAGGTAATTAAAAGTATAAAACTGAAAAAATTCATATTTTATATTCACCGTGAGATTGATTAAAAGTAAACTTCAAACAAAACAAACCAAGAACATATTTTAGATGATTTCGAATGCATTAGAATGGAGTATTCGAATGAACAGAATTAAATTGAAAAAATAAGCACAAACTTACTAGTACTTGTACATTAACGGTAATTTTTTGTTCCGGAATATTTCCATCCGGATCACGGGCGGTAATGTTCAGTTGATAAATCCCTTCTGCTGGTAAAGACCAAAGTCGTCCATAGTAAATATCATCATGCACTTTTTCCAGCGAAATAAATGCTGATGCCGTACCATCTATGCTTATTTCATTGATATTATATGGTGCTACATCTTTATCTTTTACCTGTTAATTAATAAATTATTCCATAAAGGTTTAACATTCCTAAATTTTAACGCTTTATTTATTGAAAGCTACTTTACTGTTATCAAGAATCACTGGTTCAGAATCAAGTTTTATTACCTTTACAACAAAGGGTTTTGTAAGACGGCCATTTGATACCGTAATTTCATTTTGTAATGTTTCTAGAATTGGACCATTGTCATTCCAGTCATCGATATGAATTCTTACGATTGCAGGGATCGAATTTAAACCATCTTAAGAACAGGAAAATTGCATAATGTTTAGATATCAAATACATGGAGAGGTGATAAAGATGATTTGATGAGAAAGTTTAGGCTAGCATAACCTGAATCTAATCTATTCCAGAACCATTCCTGAATTTGTTTTGATAAACGTGCTTTTTTCATATTTCGGTTTGATAGCAAAGGAAAAGGACCATGAGAGTAGAAATTTGTTACTTAGCAGATTGACTGAAGGGACGAATTGAATTATTCGCGTTCAAGGTAAAGTTAGCAATAAAGAGTCAAAGGTAACATTTCACATGTGCCTTAAAATCCGTAGACAGCATCATTAGTAAAGACGAAGCTGAAATGTTAATGGCATTCCCAGACAAGTTCTATCACGATTTTTTACACAAGAAGAAAGCGAAAATTGAATGCCTAATAGAAGAACTTACTGCGGTCAGTGAGGATAGCAAGAAGGTGATATGTAGTAATTTGCTCACGATCTAGGCATGATAGGACACTTGGACATGAAACGCTTACCGTACCACCATTTACCGCAAATCTTTAAATGAATGAATTTCGCACAGTATGCAACCAATCTTTTAAATCTTAACAAAAAAAAAAAATGCATCTTGTTCATCATTTCTTTTTTGAATCTTCAAGCAAATTTTTTTAAAATTGCAAAACGGCAATGAAAGTAAAACTTGACCTTATAACTGCTTGAAGTTGTAAGCTTAAATTTACTTTAACTGTCAAAATTTAGCCCAATTACTAATCTTAAAATAATATTAAAATACTTATGGTTAAAAATATTTCCCAAAAAATGATTTGTAATTTCGAGCATTTTGCAAATAAAGTAAATTTGAAATTTGAGCTGGTTTTTTACACATTTTTCTATAGGATTATATTGTGACGAAATGTCTAAAATATACAGTTCACTGCCGGGACCAATCAGCTGATAAGTGACAGTTGCATGTTCACGGCGATCCATGAATGCAACTTCCATCTGGCCAACTTTTTGTCCTGTTATGCTGCCTTCACTTATATGAAAATCATATTCAGGAAACAAAAATGCTGGTGGTTCATTGCTTAAATTTTCATCTCTCATAATGCTAATCACTTTTGATGATGCTACTGACGGACGTGTTCGTTGAGATGCTGTCACCTGAAAACAATAAATTAATTGAGGGATACTATGGATGCAGTTTTCAATTTACCCGAAATAAATTAATGAATTGATAAAAAGCATATAGCGGAGTTGAAAAAAGAAGTCCATCCTCATTTAATAAATAAAACAAAATTCTTAGGATTTAGCAACGTATGAGGATAAGAATCGGTGTATCTAATGCTATTGCAGAATTTTAAAATTCCTACCAGAAGTAAACTTCACCTTGACAACAACAGAACCATCCAAAAGATCACGATCAAGTTTCTCAGCATCACGAACAGCAAGAAAAACTGTTTTTCCCGGTTGCATACGACGCGGAATAATTTCCAATGCAGAAGAATTTACTGAGACCATAATTACATCATTAGGATCCTGAAAAAAAAAGCCAAGTTTTTTGAATTTTACCATTTTAGGAGAAAAAAATAATTCCAGACCTTTGAAAAGCATACCATGTTATTGGCGGTAATGATGATATCAAGATCAGGTAAAATGTCAGAATCCCGAAATTCGTTAGGTAAAACATATTTATCACCGTCGTTGGTTTTGAACTTCACATCTATCACTGAAATTAGTAGATAATTAAAATCATAAAAGTGATAATTCACCAAATTTCCTCTTGGCATGATTCATTATTTCTTCGATTTCTGTTGCAAATAATGCTATTCTTACAATTTACAAAGATCACAGTCTACGAAGAATGTAAATTACTGAATGTTTCAGACAATATTTTATCCCCACTCCGATATATATTTGATTATCGAAAGTTTGCCAATGGTGTTCTACCATTTAAACTTACTTTTCTCTTGCGATTCCATCTTATTGATTCTAAAACTGTTTTCTAGGCTATCATCCTTTTCAGACCATTTTCTTTTAGCTTCGGTTTCTTTCTGAGCTGTTTCCGGATGTGATACAACTGTAGCTGTCACTTTATCACTATTTGTCTGTTGCGTGGTCAGTTGAATCCATTGTGATTTATCTGTTCCAAAATTTCCATCATCACTCCGATTCCAACTTTCACTCATTTCGTAATCTGAATTCATATGAATCGTATCTGTTAAGGTGATCGATGTTAGTTGAAGAATAGCAGCATTTGTACTTTCAGATGTTTTTATAGCATCACTTGAAGCAACAATCGTATCAACATTATTAGCAATGGTACTAATATTATCAGTATAATCTTTCCAGGTAGCAGTATTGGTATGTGTGGAAGTATGACGATTAGTTTCATCACTAGTGTTCATATCATTATCGGTGTACCTCGTATCATCGTTATTAACATCCTTATTAGTACTTAGTTCATGTATCGTCAAGTCTGTTGGTTTTGTAGTAATAGTATAGTTGCGTTGCATATCCGCTCTCGTTTCAAAGTTTGAAGCAAATTTTTCGAAGTTTTCCTCGAATTGTTTGTTCCAGTGGATGTTATCAATGTTATCACCATTCCCCGATACAGGTAATGTTGTCAGTGACATGAGGGGGGCACCAAACTTATCTTGCAAGCTTTTTCTATTTTCTACTGAAATATTTGGGAATAAATTGTTGGCATTTTGGACTGATAAAATAACCGTCGTTATCGATTTATTATCTACCGGTAGTTGTTCTTGGCTGTGTGAGGAAAAATTATCATTGTTTTCGTTGAATTCGCTGTTTTTGAATTCTTTATCATCCATTTCTGTCGTTAATGCATTTCTATGAATTTCTGTATTTATAAATGTTCCACTTTCAGATGAAACTGAAACGTAATGGCTGGCATCCAAATTATCAATATCAGAGTGCGTAGAACCATAATTTCGGAAATTCTCTGGAAGTGTTACTGGAATAATTCCAGACTCCTGTAATGGTTCAGACTTGTCCATAGTGTGCTTTTTATTCAAAATTTCTTCAAGTGGAAAATTTGTCCAGTTTCCCGGGACTTTTCTGGAAGGCTGGTCGAATGACTTCCGAAATAAGGGAACACTGACTGAGGATGGACTTGCTTTGGTCACTGATTCTGGCTGCTGTGTTGCTATTTCTTTAACTCTTAAAAAGAAAGATCTTGATCCTTCTTCTGTTGCACTATTAATTATTGCTTCAGTATCATGAATGCTAGACTGGGAAGTTCCCGCGAAATTTTTATGTGCAGAAGGTTCATCCGGAAGTGATGACAGTCTTGCAACAGCTTGCCAGTTTTGTGGTACAGTAATACGGTGGAGTTCGGATGGTGAAACGAATCCTGCTGTTTTTTGTTCTTGAGGATTAGCCAATTTTTCGTCGAGTGTTTCAACTGTAGTTCCTAAAGTATCCTTTTCAGATTCGGCTTGCGTTATTTTAATATTCCAGGTACTGTGAGCAGTAACCGTATCTATTTGTTCCAGATTCGGTATGATCGCAGTAATTCCGGGTCCATTTTCAGAAATATCCGCGGAGTCTGTAACGGTATAATTCTCTGAATCAGTCGGAAGTTCCGGTGTGGTAAATTCACCCGTTATTAATGTTCTAGTCACATCAGAAATTGATGTTACTCCCAGAGAATAAGACGTTCCTTTGGTAGCAAACGTCAGGACTTCAACAATAATATCTGTAGAAGTTTCAAAATTGCCTTGGTTAGCCTGGAATAAAACAATGAAATTGATAAAAATCCATAATATTTGAAACAATTCTACGATTTACAGAATTGCTCCAAGAAAAAATTACTTTTATTTGAAATTTATATCGGCCATTGTTGGTTTTTCTGAAATCAACATCAGCACCATCATATAGCATAAGTTTGATCGCAACAATGAGACGATTAGCATTCTAGAATATAAGTATACTATTAGCTTATGGTGAACTAAAAATACATGCTAAGTTCAATGGTACATAGGTAATATCAGTAGACCACAGATAAAGGTGAGGTGAATTTGAATGAGTAAATGAAGCAAAAAGTGTCGATAAGTGCATTTTGGAATTTGTTTAGTAGAATAACGATTTTTGACTTATTTAATTTCACACAAAAAAAGAGGAGAGTGATGAAATTATTAACGCACGAGGAAATAAAAAGAATTCACGAAAATACCGTCTCTGTTTCCATTTCGCCCAGATAAAACCATTGAAGTGGCTCGGATTGAATTGAAAATTTTGCTTCCATACCATTGAGATGAGTTAAAAAATAAACTACAGCAACAATCATCGAATCCTACAATATCATAAAGTATGGGAAACTGAAGGATATTGATCTTTGCTCTCTGATATATTTAATTGCATTAAAATGAAAGCTCCATTCAATATTTCTCCACTGATACAGTGTAATGTTGTATAAAACCTACGATTTTTGCCGTAAAGATTAAAATTCATTGAAAAGAGAGTGGATTTGAAAAAAACTGTTGAAATTTCTTTTAAAACCTTGTTTTTCCTTCCGGTACATATATTTCATAGGTGTTATGCTCGAAATGTGGCATAAAAATAAAAGCAGGTGCTTTTGGCTTCATTTTTGCCACTTCATGCTCAATAATGGATTTGTTCCAGACTGGAACCGGTTGCTCCTCTGAAGCAATGAAATTTGGTTGTACATGGAATTTACTATCAATCGTTGTTTCTGCCTGACGTTCAGTAGTTTGTTGACTTGTCACACTTGGGATTTCGGGATGAATTTCGTCATCCGGGTTCAAATCATCAGAAACAAAATGTATGAAGGCGTTCCAACTCTGCAATTGTATAACTTCGAATGGGACAAAGAATTATATCAAAATATGTGGATATTTTACAAAATATAAAAAACAAAAATAGGTCGGAATCAAAGGGTTCAAAGAAACATAAACCGTATGCGAATTTCTCCCATGACTTCGCGTTCTGATGATAAGAGGTAAATTGAAATTTGTAATGTTCTTGGTACCCGTGTAAACAATTCGTAACCGATAACTGTCATTGCTAAGTAAATCTGTGACGCAAAATGCAACTGCCGGTAGCATGCATATGAATTCCAATGAACTATTAAACGCATCATGTGCCTTTACAGATAAAATTTCATGGCCTGAAAAAATGGGAAAAAGAAGCAAAGTGATAAAGACTGATAATTTAGCAGAACTCTACTAGGAAACCAAAAATCATTCATTAAATCAATGTTCAATATCGTATATTTAGAGGAGTATTTTTCAAGATTAGAGTTTCACCTTACAATCATAATTATGTTTTAATTAGGATAACTCTGAAAACTGATACCTGAATGAAACTTTGCAATATGAACAGGTTCAACGAAAATTTGTGGGTTACTCCAGATAATGGGACTGTTCAGAACATTCCCTGCAGTGTCATCCAAAACTTTTAAAGTATAATCGTCTGCCACTGTTACTATTTTTAGGTGAGAAATAGGCGTATTGAGTGTGTGGAAATCCAGTGAATTCTCAATTTGCGACTCAGATAAATTCGAATTTTCTTTGACGTGAATGAAATTTGAATTCTGAATTAACTTTTCAACAACATCACCATCTGCCACACTAAAAGAGATTTCCTAATTTGTATTTCCAAATTTTTAGTTTTTTGATTTTTTTCAACTTGTTCAATTTTTCAATATTTTTCGAAGAAAGCTGAAAAAAAAAAACTCAAAAAAAACCTGTGGAGAAATGCGCTCATTTGTGATGTTGGCCCTTGAAAATTGTTATTTGTTTGACTTATTCCAGTACTGACACTATTCATAGTTTCGTCTTCTCTGAATTCTTTCATCATTTCTTCACTGACTTTTCCAGCTAAAGTTAACTGATATTTTAACCAACAAAAACTAAATTTATAATTTTAAAATTTATGGCAAAAAAAAGAACAAATAAAACATCGGAAATAAAAATTGTAGTACCGGTGATCAGCAATTTTCCGTCCAAAACTGGTAATGGAAGTTCAGGCATTATTTCACTGAAAAATAATACTAAAGAAATCAGTACTGCAACAAATATGTAAAACTTTTGTTATAAAATCAAAAACTCCGTGTGGATTAAAAGATTATTCTGGCACTAATTGCAACACATGGATTGTTGCGTACATGAACTATCGTGGCTCTCTCTAAATATCCATTGATTGCATGAAAATCAACCTGGACACATCCATAATTTCATTCAAATTCAACAAACTTGAAAGAAAAAAAAAGGTGTAAAAAATTATTCATTGGAACCTTGACGGTACAGACATCATATCGTTTTCAGATGAGTGTTTACCAAATACGTCTTGATTATTGATACCATCTGATTTCTAGGGAAAAAAAAACTTTTTAGATGAGTTCAAGAAATCTTCTGAAAAGCATTCTCAATATATTGCTAAGCATATTGTATACTATAAAGTGTATCGTTTACCTATAACAAAATCGGATACTTATTTGTTGATTCTTCAGAATCACTTTATTCAATCTAATTGAGATGTTTTAGAAATTTCTTCCACTAGTAATTATCGTTCTACTAATAAGCATTGTAATGAACTAAGCAACCTTCAAATTACTAGGCATCCCATCATCTGGTTCATTCCTGATCATTCCAAATTTCGACATATCCGGATCATTATTTGAAAAACTTGGAAGATCAGCTCCGGAAACAAACTTTCCAAAATTTTCGTCAAAAATTTCATTTTCATCCGTTTTTTCAAACAACATTTGTCCTGAAAGAAGCAAGGAAAAAGATTGGAAATAGAATTCAATTGTTACATAATGATTGAATTACTTTATAGGTTATTGTTATAATTCTAATCAATTCTAACAACATTAAACACTTCGTGTTTTGGAATAAATTGTTCAAAATGACTAATAATATTTCACAATTGTTATTATTGACTTTAACAAAACCTAATTAAAAGAAGAAAATTACCACATATATTAGAGGTTGATAAAATCCATAACCAAATCACCATTATGAAATGTAATCGAATATCGATTTTACTGCTAGAATTGGTACAGTTTGTAAAACGTACGCCAAAAATTAAATATTCAATTTATATCAGTAATTCTAGATCTTTGACTGCTAGAATTATTGATATCAATTACCAATATGTGCCAGTATATTTCAGTATCCATTAATAAATTTCAAATACAATAATATTTATGTAAGTAATATTTTTAAACAAATAATATTTTCACACAGAACCTAATTCTATGAATCAGTATCATTATTAACCTAATGAACAATTCAATTAGTAATAGCATATAGCAATATTATCATCATGCAATATATTCCATATGAACATTTCAGATGGAGTAGAACTCGAGGAAAACAATTATTGATAAATGTTAGTTAGGAGATGATTTGACAAAAATTAACTCCGTTCGGTTGATGTCAATAACACTTTCGAATCAAACAAATTCTTCATTGTCTTTGTCATTTTGACCTAATTACAACTTCCATTTCTTCCTTTTTTTTCCCCCCCTCCCCCCTCACCCCTGTTATGCATAACCTTAATTCCTTTTTATTTAATGTTTGGAACTAATGATTTGTGTGTATAGGAATGGTAAACAGTATGATAAAGATAGAAAGGGAGAGTAGAAGAGCGGAAGGGAAAAGATAAGAACTTTTTCTTTAATCTTATTTGCTAAAAATTCTCTTAAATATACCATCAAATTTGTATAAAATTTAATAAAATATTGAGATGATCTCTTTATTGATACATTAGTTCGACCATAATATCCAATCTCATAATGATAGTCATGCTATAACATTTTCATTGTGATTACATGCTATATGTGTATCAAATTTTGGAAATTTCTTCTGTTAACTAATTTAACACGAATTTGAAAAACATTGAGAATTTCTGACAAGCATACTGGATAAAGCCATAACCAGCAGATCAGCAATCAATGCATCCAAATATCAAGGTTATTCAATTCATCTTATGTCATACTTCCACATCAAACTATAAGGGAATACATACTGAAGAATAATCGATAGGTAAAAAGAGTAGAATAATTATCAGTGGGTGATAATCAGTTAGTCAAAGTCTAAGGAATCAATGATATTGTCTTAGAAATAGACACAAGATACAAAAAGCTCTTACCATGAGAGAAATTTCTCAAAATTTATCGCTTAATCTGATATTAGTTTGAAGATATTACAGGAAAATATATTTTTCAGTGCTCAAAATTCCAAAAATTTTTCTTTAAAATAACGTTTTAGACAATAGAAAAAACTTTTTTCTTTTAAGTAATAGGTAGCAAGAAAAAGGGACTGTAATGAAGCAGCAATAATTCAAACTTTAATTTTGAATCCTTATAAGGCTATTATTTTTAGTGCTTTAATGAATTATTTTGAGGTCTGCTAATACTACCCCACTTTATGACCATCTCCAAGATCGCTAATGAATAGCACTATACATGTCACCCTGCTTTGCACATGAACTTTCTGCTAGGATTCCGTCAGCTCTGCTGATTTCCCGTAAAAACTAAAACCATAATTTTAGCATAAATTTAAGCTAATCTAAAATGGGTCATGGAAAATTTTCTTTTGTTATCAATATGCAGTATCAAATTAAACTTTATTGCACAAAAAATTCTTTTCATACTGACAGAAAACTTTAAAGGCAAGTCAACATTCAAAAAATATCATCGCTTGATCATTTCAAAACTCATTGCGCAAGATTTGCTAGAAGATGAACAATTAAGGATTAATTTCACTTCTTTAAAAAATTTTAAAATTGCGGTCCAATTTCACAGGGAAATTTGGACGAATACGATAAGTTTAACAATCCAAGAAGATATAGTTTGAGGTAACTATTAAAACCAAGAAAATCAAAGAACTGTCAGTGCAGAAAAGGAAGAAAAGTGCAGCGGCGAGGTGGCACAGCAGATCCGTCATAATCCCCGGCTGGGAGCTTTGTACGATCGACGTCGTCGAAGTACGGGTCCTTCAATAATTTCTTCGCCGAGATTCGTTTTTTCGGGTCGTAAGTAAGCATTGCCTGCAAAGAGCATATTAGTGGAAATGTGCTTATGGATGTTAGTGGATAGATTTCCAAGTCTGAAACAGTTCTCATCTGACATTTACTAAATTACAGAATTTTCAAAATGTCGATTTCCATACCTGTAAGATCTTCATTCCATCCTCGTCCATGTAGTCAGCAAGAATTTTTGGAAGTATGTTTTCGTTGAATATCGGATATGGTCTTAGAGAATCCGGCATTTTTAACACTCCACTCTCTATTTCCTTTTTCGGAGTCGACAGTATACTAAAGATTCCAATAATAAAGCATCATTATCGAATGGAAGTTAAATTGAATATGATGAACAAACCTGAAAATGAGGAAAATCTGGTCGATTTCCGAATCACCTTTAAAGAGAGCTGTTTTCATGGCCATTTCAGCAAAAATGCACCCGATACTCCAAATATCAACTGCCATCGTATAATTAGTGCAGCCGAACAGTATTTCTGGAGGTCGATACCACAAAGTGACCACCTGCAAGTTTAACCAGTAAGTTGCAATGTGGAGAATTCTGCAAATAAGTTTTTATGACTGTTTTAAAGACATGGGCAGCACATCCCCTTGCAAAAAACATTGAGATTCTAGAAGATATACTGCTGTGGTAATTTTTGGAATGATGAAATAAAAAAACCAGGACGAAGAAACCTGACCACTTCAGTATATTCCCTTTCCGCAAATTGCAGTTCCCTTGCGAGGCCAAAATCAGCAATCTTAAGGGTACCGTTCCCGTCAACTAGCAAATTCTGTGGTTTCAAATCACGATGTAGAACGTTACGCTGGTGACAGAAACAAATGCCTTGCAAAATCTGGTATAAGTACGACTTTTGCTGCAATTAAAAAGATTAATCAGTTTTTAATTGTGACAATTTTTGATTTAAATACTTATCAAGAATTTATGGTTTGCGAAGCAATAATTTATGAGATTAGCAGAGTGTGAACTGGAGAAAAATAAGTGCACCAACCTCAGCTTTATCCATCAGTTCTTTATAAGGAATTTTGTCAATGCATTTTTTTAAATCCATGCTAAGGAATTCAAAAATCAAATAAACCAATTGTTCGTCCAGAATCACTTCCACCAGACTAAAATTAATCAAAATTCGGTCAGCATTTATATTGGTATCTTAACAACATCGCACTGCGGGAACAATGTAAGAAGACAAATAATTTACTTATTATCAATAATATACCAATGATCATTCATGCTGCCGAAATCATGTAACTGTTACACTGCAACTAAACTATGGTAAAAGATGCTTTCACTTTCATTTTTAATAGCCTAAACATGAAATATTCGAAAATCTATAAATAGAAATAAAAAACGGCATACGAAACGATGTTAGGATGTTTCAGTCTTTTAAGTAACGTCATTTCACGAAGAGCTGTACCAGGAATACCCTCTGAACGATGTACTGAACGCATCTTCTTCATTGCTACCAACCTGCCTGTACTCTTTTCAATTCCTTTGTAAACGACACCGTATGCTCCTACACAAAAAAGATGGAAAACGTATAATTTACATCTTTTCTTAGGATTCTAACTTTAGAGAGTTTCCCCATAATTTCAATATGATATATTATGACTACCTTCACCAATAATTTCAGTTCGCTGGTACTTTTCCAAAGCACTTTTATCCATCGTTTCGTTAATTTCAGTTCAGCAACGTATAGTTCTGTAACATTTTAATGTTTGAAAAGTTGGAAAATTTTTTTGAAATTACTAGGAAGCAGAAAAAAAGTTATATAGTTAACGTGGCATGTATGCATTTCATTTTTGCATTGTAACTTGCGAAATTAATAACTATAACGACTAGTCGTAAAAAAAAAAAGGAATTGATTCATGGCGATAACTCTGCTAGAAATATATTCCAGTTATTTGGCAAGTTAATGAATGATATATATGCAAAACAAACAGGAAAAAAATCACTTGCGAATTCTTCAAGAAATGAATAAAATGCTTTCACGAAGTGGGACTAAACAAAGATATAGGTAACAAAAATGATTTAAGAAGAGGATGAATTGGTTTTAGTTTTGCTTAGAATTGGATGCCTAGAATACGTAAAACTTCCAATTTCAAACATTAACCAGTATACCATTTATAACGCTAACCCTAATATTCAATACATAGAATCGTAATATAAATACACGTACGTGAGCAAATTCATACTGCTAAATGTAATTACTCAAACACATTTACACTCATGCATATCAATACTTATAAACATGCATTTGTATAAATGGAAAAAATTTGATATATAAGGAATGTATGCGTGCACGCATGCATCAAAGCATGAATGCAAATTGGCACACGTGTTTACGTAATGATATCACACGTTTACGCATATAAATGACGTGAGTAAAGAAGTTTATCTGATAGAAAATGAAGTGGAGAAGACAATGGAGGAAGCGCGCGTGGTCAGAGGAACGGAAGAAATGAGTTATGAGGAGGAGGATGAGGAGGAGGAGGAGGGACAAGCATCTCAACCAGACTACGTGACTTTTAGCAAAACCATTCTCTCCCTAAGTGCCATAAGACCTATGATGAGTGTGTAGGTGGATTACAGTAATACCAGTGGGCGGTTAGGGGGACAATTTGGTAAATGCTGAACTTTTTGAATACAAGTCTGGAATATTTTGTTCAGTACACGTCACGTAACTCATTTAGTTCTCTTCTTCATCTCTTTCAATTAATTTAATAGAAAACTGATAATTTCGATGAAATCGAACAGTCATCTTCATGTGACATGAAATGTTGATGATTTATCCAGGTGCTTCTGAAGCATTAAAGTAAAAACTTCAGTGTTTCCAGAGGATTCACGTCACTTACGTGAAGTTGAAGTTTGTTTTACTTATAAAATGCATTGAATTATAATGTTTTCATGCAACAATTTAAATTTTATATATTTTATCTGTTGTTTTGATGGAAGCATTCAAAATTTCGTTGGGAAAATATACTGAAATAAAAATTTCTAATTTGTAAAATTTAGTCTAATGATAACTGGAATGATTTTATCTCTAACGTTAGGATATATCCAGAATAGTAGCGCATGTTGAATTTATCAATTTTACGCCCATTTCTCATTTCCTACAGATGTTATAAACTATGATTGGCTTCTTTTTTTTGAACAATTTTTCGAAATCATTTAAGGATTATTTGTCTGGGAAATGGCTATTTGATATCACCAATAGGTTGAGCGTTTAAGAGTTGAATACTTTAGCAATATTAAAATTTCTTGTATTTTATTAGTAAGTAAGTATACGACATCTTGAGATCATTCACATAGTGTTATGTAAAAGTTAGCCTGGGATAAGGCTCTACATTGGCCAAAGAAAAGAAAGAAGAACTAAGACATTCAAAGTTCAATTTTTCTCTCATCTCATATCCCACATTTCTTCTGTTGTCAAAGTTACAGAATGCTTATTTCAATGGCATTAAAAGTTTGTTTGTTGTCAAAGAAAAGATGACCGAGAAAAAAGCTAATATTTCACAGATTATTCTTCTTCCGGTATCCGTCTTATCAGTAGGAATATTTCCCATAGATACTTGTAGCAAGATGGTTATATTTGTGTAAGAGATAGGTGAAGTGTTACTTTTCATTTCACTCGCTTTCCTTTTTTTTCTTTTTTTTTTGAAGAAACAGTGATTGATTCTCTCTCTATCTATATATATCACAGGGAAGTTATCACTGAGTAAAAGTGTTAATCAGGAAGAATCTTTTAGATTTCGTTTCTATTATATTTCAATTTCATATAATTGAGGCCTGGAAGAGTTACTACATGTCAGAAAATGTTGAGATGTATCTTTTACAAATTGATTGATCATTTCCTATGGTATTTCTTCAAATCTTCTCCATGTTTTATACCATTTCATTAAAGTTTCATATTCTTCCTCTACAAACTTTCTTTTTTTTTTATAAATCGAGTTGAAAAGGCACATACATTTCGTCATCAGTTTTTCTCTTTGAAACTTCACTTCTACTTATTTTTGCTTTCTGCTACGTAGTACCTAACTTCGATTCAAAACAATCCTTACATTATCAAAAATTATGCATTACAATCGTTCTATGTTGACTTGCAATCTGACCTGAACTTAACCTTTCACAATTTGCTTGAACTGTGTCATGTCCTGCAGTTGAAATGATCAATTTTATCTCCTTCTTTCCTCTCCCTCCTTCTTTCTCTCTCTCTCTCTCTCTCCCTGTCTCTTTATCCGTAAATGTTGTAGATGGAATTCTACAAGAGAATGTGTCCCAGAAATAGGAAATTTCAAGATATAAAGCATCATTAATGTTATTATCTGTTCATAAATTTATTTGTTCTTTAGCATGAATTAATGAAAAACTTTGAATGATTTCTTCTGTAATTTTCAACTTAATCTTATAATCTTGAATTTAAGCTTTAATTTTATACTTAATTTATTCCAAAGAAGCTTTTCAATATCAGCAAGATCCACTAAAAAACGTTAACATTGATGGATGATATCGAAGTATCGTTGGAAAGATAGACAAATAGGTGGATTATTTAAAGGTACTAAGAGAAAAGGAAGCAAGGTAAGTGGATATTTGACGGTGAAAAAAGGAGAAGAAAAGCCAGGTAAATGGACATTTAAATGTATCAAAGGAGAAAGGAATGAGATAAGTAAGGAGTGGGGGAGGGTGGGAAAAAAAGATGAGAACGAGGAGTGAAGAGGGACAATAGAGGGGGATTTAGTAGCTAACAATAAGTCTTCAAGCTACGTTGTAATTTGCATACTTTTTTCATACTTAATCGAATAATTTCTTCATTTTTTCCCAATCGATATCTTCGAAATAAGGATTCATTAAAAGTTGTTTTGCTGAGATTCGACGTGCTGGATCATACGTTATCATTGCCTGTAAACTAATACGATATCATAAAGTAACTAAAATTTATTATTTTTAAATTTAGCATTTTACAAACTTAAAATTATAACATAAGTGTTGAACCTTTAAGATATCCAAATCATTAGAATCCATATATTTGCCAAGAACCTTGTCAAGAATACAATGCTTCCATTGAGGAAATTCTTCCTGATAATCCGGTAATAATGTTACTCCAGGCCAGATTTCTTCCGTTGGCGTTGATAAAATGCTGAAAATGCTAACAATGAAAAACAAGACGGCAAAAAAAAAAAAAAAAAAAAAGAAAGAATGACATAAATGCAAGTGTGACAAACCTAAAAATGGAAAATATCTGAGCGATTTCTGAGTCACCCTCAAAAAGTGGTAATTTTGTAGCCATTTCAGCAAATATGCATCCAATGCTCCACACATCAACTCCTAACGTATAACATTCCGCACCAAGTAGTATCTCTGGTGCTCGATACCATAAGGTGACAACCTGCTCAAGAAACAGTAATTCATAAAAGTTTACAGTATATAGAGGATGATGACGGAGGACACAAAAAAAAAGAGAATTTAAGGATAATGGGAAATAATTTTCTCGATTTATCAACTAACAGTTCTCGTTTTTCTTTATTTTTTTAATCAAAAATAAAAGAAATCAATGAATTACATTGCTTCAAAAATATCAGGACAGATTAACTCACATAGTTCCATTAATCAGTAACTCTCTGATAGCTCCAACCTTTATCACCCATTCGTAATATGGGACTATCAAATGAAAATTAGAATAAACTTACCTCATGAGTATAGGCTCGTAATGGAATACCAATTGTTCTTGCAAGGCCAAAGTCAGCGAGCTTTAAAATACCATTGGCATCAACCAGTAAATTTTGTGGTTTCAAATCGCGATGCATAACACGGCGCTGATGGCAAAAACAAATGCCTTGCAATATTTGGTATAAAAAAGTTTTTTGCTGAAAAAATTAAAATTTCGAAACTTCACTCTTATAATAATCCACTGAATTATTAATAATTCACTGTCATTTAATCAGCAAAGAACTCATCCTTCATCTTCATGATAAGATCGATCCATATCATGAAGATGATGTAAGAGTTAAACGAAAATACCCCAATAACCTCAGTTTTATTCATCAGCTCGTTATCAGGAAGCAAATCAATGTATCGACGCAAATCCATATCAATGTATTCAAAAACCAGGTATATGCGACATTCCTCCATTATAACCCCTTGGAGACTAGAATTTCAAATTTTAAGCAACATTTTCAAATATGTATTCATACGATAGCCTATGCATCTACCGTAGCATTATCTAAAAGTGACAACAGAAATGCACTAATAACATTTTTGCACTGACCAGTAATTTATTACTGTAAAAACCTTATCAAAAAATTCTTTACAAAGTTTTTATTTCCGGAATATCAGTGAAAAAAAAAAAGAGAGAGAAAAGGGAAACACACCAAATAATGTTTGGATGTATCAGTTCACGAAGAAGGGCAATCTCGCGTAAAGTTGTAGCCGGAATACCTTCTTCCCGATGTTCCAAACGAATCATTTTTATTGCTACCGGTTTTTGTGTTTGTTTATGAATAGCTTTATAAACAACACCATATGCTCCTAAAAGCATTTGAAAAAATATGGAAATGCTTGAATTTGTAGAGATAATTTGAAACTTCAGAAAAAAAAAACTTTAATTGAATGTTACAAAATAAATTTCGACATACCTTCGCCAATTTTCTCGAATTGACGATAGCTTCGTAAATTATTCCTTTCTTTTGCATCATTATGCTGCCCTGAAAGAAGTTGAAAAAAAATTTTGATTGAAATTATATTTCAAACCAATGATTTAACATTATCACTTAACGCATTTATCAATAAAAATTTTCAATCTAACAATTAATGAAATTCGATGATAGAATCTTTCTTTCCTTTTCATAACATTGTTTTTCAACAAAAATTTGTTTCAAATGTTAAATACAAAAGGAAAAAGCTGAAACACTGCTGAGATTTGTCGCTATATAATTAATAGTAACCTTAAAATTTGTAATTTAACTATCAGATCTACAAAATAACCTTTTCTTCATGGGATAGTTGATTAGACAAGAATGAAATGATAATAGATATTAGTAACATGAATATTTCTCAAAATGCTATACTTCATTGAACACACACATACACACATACACACACACAGATACACACATACACATGATTATTTCTCAAAATGTTATATTTCATTGGACATACACACACACACACACACACACATACACATACACATACCCACACACATACACATACACACATACACACACATACACATACACACACATACACACATACACCTACACATATATAAGCACATACACAAACGATTTAGGATTGTTGTATTGTTGTTTTCGATCTTTTAAAAGTGGTGAATCATATTTTCAGAAAATGATTCCATCTTTGTCACCGATTCGATTTTATCCTATCTTTCATACTTTCTAAGTAATTACACACGAATCTTTGACATTTTATAAATTTGACCTTTATAAAACTTTTCCCTTTTCTTTCTTTTTTTTTCGCAAATCCCAATCATTTTTGGACAGTATATTAAAGTTTTCTTTTTTTTTTGTGATATTAAGATTCATTAATGACAAGAAACAATGAAATGGAGAAAATAAGAGATAAAAAGCTGATTTTTCATAATCCTAACCAGTTCTTTTAAAATATCTCGTTGGTTGTTCGATTACATTTTTCCGAATGTACGCTCTGTTTGCTATCTTAAAAATAAAACATTAAAAAAAAAGGAAAAATTGAAAAATATTGAAATCGAAATTTTCAAAAATCTTTGACTTCCCAAAA